TCTGGAGTACGGTCATCGCGTTCTAAGAATTCCACCGTATCATTGCCAATATAACGCGACTGAGCTAATCTGGGCTCAAATAAAAGGTTACGCCGCCCGCCACAATACTTCCTCGCCATTCAGCACGAAAAAGATGATGACCCTATTAAAAGAAGCCTGCGGGGAAGTCACAAGAGATGACTGGGCAAAGGTTGTTGAGAAAACTAAAAACCTGATTGTGGAACATTTTGACCGAGATATCAGGATTGATTCTGTTATTGATAATAATATAATTATACATGTAGGCGAAGATGATGATGAAGACACCACCTCCTCAAGCGAATCGGAGTCTGATTAATATTCTGTACGCACATTCAATTCAATGTACTTTATTGCATAGAAATACAGATTGTAACTTTGTAACAAAGAATAAATAAAACAATTTTATTATATTAATATTATTTTTTTTTTGGTTTCCACTTAAATTACTAAAATATACATTTTAAATGATTCCGCCAATTTAAAACGAAAATAATCTTAAAAATAACGCGGCTGTTTGGAGGATCGGTAACGAACTCAGTGTTATGTTGTGCCCATCACTAGTCGTGACTAACTGATAGGTGTCAGGAACGCATTCTCTGAACGGCCGAACTATACTGTCGCTAATTCGCTTACCACCGATGCCCTCAATACATAACTCTTCTTTGGGAGCTCGGGGCGCTAACCGCTGAGCCATATGCTTCTATAAGAGTCATGGTCGATCGTTCACCTAAAAGAGCTGTAGTCTTGATCTTACCTTTAGGTCTATACAACTCGACCGGTATAATCTTTAAATGTGCACATGCCAGTGTATTCACTGTATTCAACAGTCGGAATGTGCGCTTGCTTACCCCCGTCGCCCTCTGACGGCAACACTTCCTTCTCGGGGCCTCTTTGTAAAAGCTTATGGTGTTTCATACGACAACTATCTACACCGCACTTTTTAGTTGTACATTTTGACCACCTATGATAGGGTGACCAACATTAAGAGCATATACTCGTATTGGCTTTCCTCACCGCTTCCCATTTATTGCGATTGTCCATATGTTTAAACCTATAGCAACTCTCTACAGTGCTCTTTGTCACATAACACACTTACGTTTTATTTTACTTTTAGGCTTGCTCTTGTAGCCATAACCTTTTGTCGGTTACGCTTTCCTTTTTCATTACGCTCGTTGCATTCGTTGTGCTCATCTATGGCACAGCAGCGCGTAGACTCCTTCGCGGTGTGCAAGGTTCGAGTCTTAATTTTGGTACGCATTCTTTTTTCGAAATTATGTTCTGCATTGAATGATGCACCAAACTGTTCACTCAATGAATTTAATAAATTAGCCATTCTTTGTAGCTCTGGCTCCGTATGAAATTGTACTCAATAATCCAACTATTTGAATTTAATCGTAATGCCAAGCTTGTCCACTATACGACTCACCAAATCGGGTGAATGTAATTACTGTGGTTGTTTTAGCGCACGTATTGACGCATTCATATATTCATAACTTTGCTCGCAAAGTTAGAGATATTTCTGCCATCCTCCGCTAGCTTTGGTATTTTCTTTACATAATGATTTCTTATATTTACGCGAACACTACACATGATTAAAACTACTTTTACGGATTTTATCGCGTTTATTTTTGCTTTTAATTACTTTTATTTTTAATTCCCGACGTTTCGGGTGCTTTCCAGCATCCATGGTCACGGGGGACTGAGATGACTGACGTCCCGATGTCATTGTTAAACCCGGAGTACCTTCAGCTTTTTAAATTATTGTTTATGGTCCGATCTATGCAAAATGAACTGACTATGTCTTGAGGTCTTGCAGTGGTATGCTTGGGTTTAGTTTTAATTTTATTGATTATAGGATCCCAAGCAGGTGGTAGTACCCAGCCTCCTTCTCTATTAAAATTAGGATGGTTTTTAATTTCAATAGCCTCACGTATCATCCTTGGTAGGAATCGGTGTTCTTTCGCGAGGATTTGTGGTCTATCAAATCTGATGTAATGGTTGGGGCCGTCCAGGATATGATCACAAACTGCAGACTTCCCGGAATGTTGATGCTTCACATCAGCTATATGTTCTTTTACGCGGGTTCTAATTGATCTTTTTTGATTGGTCTCTGACAAAGTAAAAGTAGTTTTAATCTTTTCTTTACATTTTCGATTTCGCGCTAAACCGTGAGGTAAGCCGCGTGGAAAAACACACTAAATTCACACATTATTTTCGTTATCACGTTTCCCTAATGCGTAAAGTATCTTTATTCTTCATAAAAATCTACACAGCTATTATGTTTTCTAAAAAAAGAACAAACAAAAATCATAAAAACAATGGAACGTACACATCCAAGACATTAGCGAAATACAAAACATTATTACGTAATTTACAATTTATTCTATGTGGTTACACCGTACACCGTAAAAACTCAAAAATACAAACTTTATTATGTTTTAAAATGCTAAATATAGCTTTCTTAACACAGGTCTTACCACTGCTCTTTTTATCCTAAATAATTAAACAGTTTAATGCAGGAAATATAATCTTAAACGTATTCTTATACTAAATTTTAAGCAAAAATGTTTCTTTAATATGACATTAAAACTTACAATATTTAGCTAATTTATAATTAAAACAAGAATTTGATAACATTTTATTTTTCATACATTAATATACCATATAAATAGGACATTTACAAGTTAGTGATTTCAACATTATTTTAAAGACATCAATTTAATACAGATAATATGCTATTATTTTTACAAGGCGCTTCGCACTTTACTAAGAAATAAGTAGATATACACTTACAAGTTGTCCAATTGAATCCTGCGGGACTCATGGGAGTATATGAGGTTCTCATCCTTTCCCTCTGAAAGAATATAGCTATCCTTGCCTTTCCTGATATATATACTTTCCTACTCTAGCATTAAACTGTCTCTCTTTACCTAATGCAGTGGAATGCCTTATTTCATTACGATGGCAAAACATCTTTTTCTCTTAATTGTTTTTAAACCCTTCAGCTCGCGTTACGTAATCGATTATTACGTAACACATGATTTTAAATTAAGTAAAAACCATTCATACCTATCTTTACAATCATTCATTATTTGCAAAATTCATAGTAGCTTAATGCTGGTAAGTTACTAACATAGCCCGGCGGATCAGTAGGTTGAACAACAGGCCGGCCATGTAGCTTGCAGAACCGGTAACCGATGGGGAAGAATGGCAAGCTCAGTCTCAGTGTTGGGCGACCTGCTCACTAAATGGTGTGACGACCTGACGAAACATACAGGAAGTCGATGGATTAAGGCGGCTCACAATGAATAGGGGAGGGCCCTATGTACTCATAGGGCCCTCTTTTGGCCTGTCTTTTGGCAGGCAGTAACGATAATGTTTACGATGATGAATAGAATAAAGTATAAATGCAGTTGCACCTCCCTGAAAAAAAAATTCTGCCAGTGACATGGCCCATTTATCTGTATGTGGGAGGCGCCTTTACAAAACTGCCCATAAGGAAATAATAAAAATATCCGTGAATTTCCTCTTATACATTTTATGAAATGATTTATTATTAGCGATTGGGTACAACCACGCATGTTTATTTAAACTTTTTAACTGTAAGCGAGCTTGTTTTAACGGCACTTTAAATATCATTAATTATTTATGTATTTAACACACAAATGTAATATTACGATCCTAGGTATATTAATATTTTCTAACTACTCTTGCAATGATTAATGTTCCAATACGCTTCAACGTACCTACCTAGTTATTTGCATGTTACTCTAAATGTACTGCGACTATAATAATTTGATATTTTATACACATGATCGTCGAAAGTAAGTTTAGATAACAAGTTTTAAAAAAAATATTAGGTTGTTTAGAAATCTTAAGCAACAGTTCCTTAAGTATCTTTTTTTTAACGTTTTATCAATTAATAAAAGCATAAAATATTTAGTCCTGTTTATTTAAGTTTACGTTTGTTTTAAAACACCTACAAAAGACCCACACCCACCCACAAAACGTGTAACATTTCTAATGTTCTAGGATAGAATAGAAATGTGATATCTCTTTAAAACCCTTTATCTATAATAAATATTAAAATATTAACAATTTTGATGATTCTTTTATATTGATTAAAACTACTTTTATGGATTTTATCGCATTTTATTTATTTTATTTTTAATACCCGACGTTTCGGGTGCTTTCCAGTACCCATCGTCACGGGGGACTAAGGTGACTGACATCCCGATGTCAAAGTTAACCCGGAGTACCTTCAGCTTTTTAATTATTTACTTTGGTCCGATCTACGCGAAGACAATAATTAAAAAGCTGAAGGTACTCCGAGTTAACTTTGAAATCGGGATGTCAGTCACCTCACCCTCAGTCCCCTGACCATGGGTGCTAGAAAGCACCCGAAACGTCAGGTATTAAAAGTAAAATAAATAAAACGCGATAAAATCCGTAAAAGTAGTTTTAATCAATGTGTAGTGTTCGCGTAAATATAAGAAATCATTAGATTCTTTTTTTATTAAATGGGTTAATATAATACTTCAATGGTGGTCCCATTGGAGAAAAAATTCCACCCCCTGAGGGTTTAAAAATATTGCTTCTTTTTTTTAGCAAATCGAAGTCGGTTTTTACTTTTTGTCAAAAGTTATAATTATTTTACAATTTATAAAGATTCCCCGGTGATAGACAAGAATCTATTCGAATCTTTAAAAAAATATATAATTGAAACGGATCAAGAATTTGGTGCGCATCCATATAATAACTCATAGTACATACTTACTTTATAACACACGCTAAGCTCAGGAAAGTAAAATACACCTTCTGAGTATTGCGATCGTTCACTTTGATCTAAGCAACTGTGAGGAAAGTACATTTCTCCGTATTTGTAAAAAGCACATATCTTTCCTATGTTAGAATATAATAAAGCTGTGATGTATTTACGACATATTGCGTCGTTTTTATTATTTACTGTGTCTTTGAGCATGGGTAAGTTAAGTTAGATTGTATTTTTCATTTGATTTCATTAAAATATATATATATATATATCTACTTAAATATAGAATATAATATAAGCTTTACGTCTAAAGTTTTGTACGAGTAAGTTATGTTTTCTTTATATAAATTATAAAATACATAATTAAAATATAAGCCTTTAACATTACCATCCTCATCACTACATCCCATCACAAGCCCACGGCTGAACATAGGCTACCCTCAAGAAATGCCACAAAGTACTTTCCTGAACCACCTGTATCCAACTTGTAGGGTCCACCCCCATTGAACTTACTGGTACGAGGCTGCCATTCAAGAACATTTTTTCCCCATTCGCAACTTCAGCTTATTGATCCGAGCTATGTCTGTTACGCCAGTATTACTACGAAAATCCTCATTTAAGAAGTGAGAGTAATTCTGAGCGTAGTTCATATCATCACCATAGTTTGCTAAGCGATCATGAGCTTCTTCATACAGCCAGCAGTGAACGACCACCTTTCAGATCCATATTTCCTCGCTGACGACACGCACGAGTTGCTTGTTTTCTAGTTTTGATGTATAAGTGAGGAGATGTGTCGTAATATCCCAAACATTGCCCATCCGAGTTGGATCCATCAATGGACCTCTAAGTCGAAGTTGTACTTACCTAACCGGACAATTTGTCCTAAGTAAACATACTCGTCAACTTATTTGAGTGTTGTGCTCCCAACAACCGCCGACATAGGAGTGAAATGGACGTTGCACATATTTTGTCTTGTCCATGTTCATCTTAAGACCTATCTTTTGGAAAACACTATTGAAGGCATTGATCATATTGCTGTGGTCCTCTATCCATTCTGTCATTTCAGTCCAGTAGCTTCAAAACATCTTCAGTGAAGTTTGGGGATAAAATGGCACCCTGTCTTACAGCTTTTAGCAGTTGAATATGTTTCCTACTCAGGTCCTAAATAAAAATTATAGTCAAAACTGTTCAAAGCCCCTATGAAAATCAAAATCTACACTGGTTTGCAAAACCAAGACCTTTTCAGGAAAGAACCGGATAGAATCTCTGAGTCCTTTTTTTAAAAGTTGTGTTACAATTCCATGTACAAATACAACATAAAAAACTACAATTTCAAAGGTTAATTAATTAGTAAATATTTTCAAAATCTTGGCTTTAATAATACAACAATAAGTATATTAATAATAGTCAAAGACAATTGCAGAATAAGTCTTATTTTCACACATCAATGTTCATAAATTTATATTTTTTTTTGTACAACCTACGTACCTGATGTTCTCAAAAATAAACAACGATGAAATGATTCGTGAGGCCCAAGTTATATTTAACCCGTATCGCTTTCTTTCGCAATATGAATATTGTTCCCAGTTCAGCCTCCGAATCAGACCTCCACAGAAATACACCGTAAGACATGATACTGTGGAAGTAAGCAAATTAGACTAATATAGCTATTGCTTTATTAGTGAGCTTTCTAATTTTCCTAATAGGGAAAATTGCAAAACTTAATTTCGAAGCTAGCTTCTCAATATGTGCTCCCCACTGGAGCTTAAAACTTATAGAAATCTCGAGAAATACGTTCGAACTTTCCAAATCTAAATTAATTATAGCATTCTGCGGCGACTGAGAGAGTATAGATTGTAAAGATTTTGTTATTTCTGTACCTAAAAGCAAATTGTTAGTGCCAAATCATTTCTTTTAACTTTATAATATGATGGTATCATCTGCAAAAAAGTACCTTAGTCATTTGTACTAAACAAGTAGATTATTTATGTAGACCAATAAAACAGAAGAGCTAAGTATCGACCCCCGAGGGACACCCAGTTGTGTTATTACATATATAGTAGTGAATTGGTTCTTAATTTTAGCCATATTGCATAAACTCTACAGCACCTCTATTGTAGCACGGCTTTAATTTCGCCGGTATATAAGACTTTTAATAAACCACATACGCAATATAAAGTGGCAAATTGTACTGCTAGGTTTTCAGTATAACTTGCCGAAAGGTATGTATGTACTTCTAACATTTACTACCTACATCAAACATTAAAATAAAACAAAAATATCGCAATCAATAAGGCTAGTACTGTATTTCAAGTAGTTGTTTTTATATAATATTATGTAAATGTTTGAATATAGAAAAGTGATTGTTTAAGTAAATAGAAAAAATTATATTAGCCTAAGTTTTGCCGCCAAATTGCAGAGCCTGCACAATTGTGTTCTATTCTAAAGGGTTATTTACTCTGTGGTATAGGGAGCTAATACAAATACAGTCTGTGAGGCAATCCATATTGGTCCTCAGAGGTGACAATACATCTGTAGCTTTCTTTGCTTGAAGTTGGTCCGCTGACGGTGGTTACCATCAGATGGACGGTAAGTTCGTTTGTCATTTCAATTTTATAATCGTCATCATCATCATTAAAGGCCACTGCTGAACATAGGCTTTCCCCAATAGGAAATAGGATTCCCCAATAGGATCCACCGATTTCCTGTGTGTCTTACTAGGTCGTCATTCTATTTAGTCGGTGGACGCTCCACACTTCACCTGCCAGTACGAGGCTGCCATTCGAGAACCTTTCTTCCCAATCGGTTATCGGTTTTTCGAGCTATATGACCGGCCCATTGCCACTTCAGCATACTCATCCGTTATGCTATGTCGGTCACTCTGGTTCTACTGCGGATGTCCTCATTTCTAAGTTTATCGCGCAGAGCGCGCTTATATAACTCCGAGCATAGCCCTCTCTATAGCTCGCTGAGCGACTTTGAGCGTCTTCATACCGAGTACCGAAGGTGAGTGATGTACTCGCCATTGATGTTAATACCGTATCCTCTGGTTCTACTGCAGATATCCTCTTTTTAAGTAAGTTTATCACGCAGAGAAACTCCGAGCATAGCCCTCTCTATAGCTCGCTGAGCGACTTTGAGCGTCCTCATACCGAGTACCGAAGGTGAGTGACGTACTCGCCATTGGTGTTAATACCGTATCCTCTGGTTCTACTGCAGATATCCTCTTTTAAGTAAGTTTATCACGCAAAGAAACTCCGAACATAGCCCTTTCCATAGCTTGCTGAGTGACCTTGAGTTTCTTGATACGGCCAGCAGTGAAGGACCACGTCTCAGATCCATAGGTCATCACTGGCAACACGAACTAGTTGTACAATCTAGTTTTGAAGTTTTGAGGAATGCCTGATAAGATGTTTCATAATCTCCGTAATTTAAATATTTATTATTATAAAAAAAAATAATAAATTTACCCACGAAGCTCAAACTTTGACACCTCTCAAAAATGGTAAACGGAAAAATGATCAGTTCCGATGAACGGCTTAATTTTCCTACGAAACATTATAAATAGCCTTTTATTTCCAAAATCAAAAATGACAACAATTTTTTTTATATATATAAATTATTCTTACTCAATTAGTGATATTCATAACATTAACAATTAGAAATAGAAGAAATATTATTAACATATAACACATTGACATTTAAAAATTAACTTATTAATGAATAAATATTTCATTGCATCTTATATAAATTAATCAAACAATGACATTTATTTAATTTATTATTATTAAATATTTAAATTAATTAAAACAAGACTTAGCATAAGGAAACTATTTGCATAACTATATTAAATATTTATTTTATTATTATTTACCATATAAAGTCCTTGATTTCGGAATGTCTATTGACAAAGGCCTCCTCCAGACTTTTCCATTGTTTCCGGTCGAGTGTTAATCGTCTCCAGTAAGGTCCAGCCGTGTGTTTTAAATCATCTTCCCACCTTCTACGCTGCCCACCTCTGCTTCTTTTGCCATCTCTTGGATACCAATTTGTGACAATTTGGCTCCATTTTTCTTGACGGTTCCTGAGCATGTGTCCAGTCCATCTCCACTTTTGTAAGTCTATTCTTTGTAATATATCAGGTACCTGGGTTTTGTTCCGAGTGTCTTCATTCCTGATCCGGTCGGTTTTCTTTATACCAATCATGCTCCTCTCCATTGCTAGTTGGCATGTTAACAATTTATTTCTGTGTGAACCTGTGAGGGCCCAAGATTCGCATCCGTATGTTAAGCAGGGAAGAATACACATTTCGAACACTTTTCGTTTTCCTGCCATTCCCAACTCTTTGCTCTTCATTATTTCTTTTAGTGACCAATACTTTTTCCACCCATTCGCTATTCTTTTATTTATTTCCTTGGATGTTAGGTCTTTTGGTGATTTGGCCTAAGTAAGTATATTCTTCCACGTATTTTAGTACTTCACAGTCAACAACTATTGGTATCTGATCCCTATTGGACATTATTTTGGTTTTCTCGGTGTTCATTTCCAAACCAGCTTTTACGAAACATTATAATTATATGAAACAGATGTGCCAATTGATCCCGTGCTAGATCCATTACAGATAATTGATTAAACTATAGAGAAAGGCTATGTTTCTTACTGCATTCAACGCTGGGCTCGTCAGTCAGCGAGCGCAGAGTCGATATCCGTCTACTGATGCTGCTCCCATTACCACAATGGGATTTTCCTGTACAATGGTTATATCGTCACTATTTAGTCACCAGAAACTTTTTTGTAGATCGTCGATGATTATGTCGCATAGTGCAATTTGGGTATGGGTGAGAAAAAGCACTAGGAAAAAATTGCGTTTGGAAAATAATTAATTGAATCAAGTATTCTAAATTGAATATAATTGTTATTTTAAACTTTAATAAAATAGTTTGTTTTTCTTACCTTTATTTTAGTAAGATCTCAACTGGCATTCACACGAGTACTAGGCGGCTCGCCAGCAACAATAGGCCAATATCCTATATTGGCCCAATTACTTCTAGACCCCTGGGGCACACTTCAATACAGCCAGCATTGTGCTGGTGTGATTTTGACGTCCCGGCACGTGATATCTACTGCACATTGCTTTCAATACAATGAAAATACAGGAAATAAGTAAGTTTATTGAAGTTACGGGCTTTTAATGACGAAAAATAAAGATGTTTATTTTATTTTATTTTAAAAACATAACTCTAATTTTACCTAAAACACGAATGGTCCTGAGAATTAATCCTTCTGAGGCAGCCATATAAAATGTAAGTAAGGCTTCAAAAGATTTGAAATCTGAAAAGGGTACTAAGTTCTGTAGCAGTTCCTTAAAATAATAGTAATAGGAATGTAATTCTTTAAAATGTTTTTTTTTTGCGTTCTTTAGTAGTGAATTATTATGAATTTATAACTTGCATGTTTTTTATTTATTGCCAGGGATCTGCCCGCCTTCGCACGGGTGATATCTTGATCCTACAACAGCGCCACCTACCGGGTCCAACTATGCCTATAACCTTTGCAGAAGTACAAGCAACACGTTGACAAAGTTTTACCGCAATCTGATGGACGGTATATAGTATAGCATAAAATAGTGCATAAAATACAAACAAATAAACATTAATTTATATAGAAATATAATAATTTTTAGGGTATTTAACTAGTACCTATTCTCGTCTGATTGGAACGTATAAAATAGATAAAATAAAATAAAAAATATTATGTTGAATATTATACAACATATTATAATATAAATAAAATATGGTATAATAAATAAATAAATACCCGGCTAGCTGAAAGCCTTCGGCAGGGGAAATCGGCCGAGAGCTACGAGGACCGGAAGGGAGTCTCCAGCGGACGATGTGAGCGCTATCGAGGAGCACCGCCCTCTCCATTTGAACCCAAAGCGGACCGTCACGGAATTCGATTTGTCTCTGATGATCCGAGAGGTTAAGCTTAAGTGGGATAAACCTGTTTGCGAACAGGCACGACCACACACTGCAACCACAAGAATAATTTCGGTCGGCATACTACCCCACATGTCGGTCACTTCGTGAACCGGATCTAGATATTTTATCTTCTTATCCGTTTTGGCTTTCACGAGGTTTTCGTCATATTATGGAATGGAAGTGTCGACCAAAGAATAGTTCCGTCTGTGATGATGGCCCGATCTCGGTAAAGCTATACGAAAGACAGCAGCATTCAGCTGCTATTTTACGCTGATATTCTGTGAAAGCATGGACCTTTCCCGGTGGAGCCGATTTATTCGTGCAACAAGCTTCAAAATAATATAAATACTTTTATTTCTCAAAAAAAAATTAATGCTAGATTTTCTATATTTGCGTACTATTGTTACACCTCGACAACTTTTTATAAGTTAGGGTGAAAACCGAGCTCACAGTCTATTCGATAAATAATAAAAACTACATCACTAAGACGAAATGTCTCGTAGATATCAGATCTCAAGGCCCACAGACCTACATCAACTAAGATGAAAAAAGATTCTTTTTCGACCGAACTGATCATATGATTCGGGATCGTAACACTGTAGCGTGGCTCTACCAAGTAAAAAGAAACAAATTTGTTTAAAAAAAGAACATGCGTGCAGCTCACACGCGACAGAAGTGAAACCTTCAAATGAAATGAAATAGGTTATACCTACCTAATACGAATATTTTAAATGATTTATTTAATATTATAATTTAAATTACAAGTTCGGCATAAAATATAAGAAAATATAGTTTTATAGTAAATAAATGTAACGATCCTTTTCGATATACCTTATATAGTACTCACTAATTACAAAAAGATTTATATTATCAATTTTACCTATTACGAAGTTGAGGTTTGGCCGTTCTTCACCGCTTGTTTAATCCATAGGCACACGACACCTTCGTACCTTATTGAACAAAACGAGTAAGCGACGCCGTTTCGGCGTTCATAGACTTTCAAATCACCATGACGTTAAAGAAGTTTTCACTTCAAAAACTCAGGAGGTGCTCTCTGTGACTAATTTTGCTTATGTATGTACAGTTACACATCACCAAGATTCTGGAAAGTACGTGTTGGCTCTTCATATCGGACTCGGGGTGGTGTCTTACACAAAATAAAAAAAAATAATACCCCACCCATCGTTTGACAAATATTATTATACTAATGACGTAGCTGTGATAGTGGTAGCGACGCCGTTTTTGCTGGGCAAATTTGTAAGACAAGGAACAATAACGAAGCCAAACACTGAAGTTGCACCAAATGCAATGTGCACTCTGGTTGGTTGGGGAGCAACACAAGTAAGTTTTCCATATCATTAGGTTCCCATTTAGCATAGATTATTAACTTTACACTGTGTAGTGGTATTATAAGATAAATCGTTATTCATCATCTTATCATCATCCTGATATCAAGGGCCCCTTTTTTAGGGTTCCGTAGTCAACTAGGAACCCTTATAGTTTCGCCATGTCTGTCTGTCCGTCTGTCCGTCCTCGCTTAATCTCTCTGACCGTTAGCACTAGAAAGCTGAAACTTGGTACCAATATGTGTATCAATCACGCCGACAAAGTGGTAAAATAAAAAATGGTAAAAATGTTTTATTAGGGTAGCCCCCCTATATGTAAAGTGGGAAGTGATTTTTTTTTAATTTCAACCCTAACGTGTGATATATTGTTGGAAAGGTATTTAAAAATGAATAGGGGTTTACATAAATCATTTTTTTATAATGTCAATAATTTCGGAAATAATCGCTCCAAAAGTAAAAAAACAATGTGTCCCCCCCCCTCTAACTTTTGAACCATAAGTTTAGAAAATATGAAAAAAATCTGAAAAGTAGAACTTTATAAGGACTTTCTAGGAAAATCATTTTGAACTTGGATGGAAACATCAGTACCCACTACCGGTAGCAGTTGCAGGAGCGCGGAGCGCTGCTGGAGCGCGAACATAATGGATACCCACCTTTAAACTCATAAGTGGCAACACTTATTGTGACGGACGGGAAACTACGGAACCCTACACTGAGCGTGGCCCGACACGCCCTTCGCCGGTTTTTTTGTAATACCTTCACAAGTCCACTGCTGAAAATAGACCTCCGTCAAGGAATAACCTACACTTAAGCTGCCACTCGAGAATATAGCCTATATGGCTGCCATTTTCAAGCTATGTATATGGCCATTTCAGCTTACTGGTTAGATGGCTTAGTGCCCAAAAAATCTCGACCCAAGTGAGCAGTAAAAGTGGCACTGTGCTCGAGTTATTAACAACTTTTACGTTTTTTAATTTGTCCGCCGTGAATTAAAATTGAAATTTATGGCGTCACCTACCGGAAAGAGCTAAATAATGTCTGTCTGGCCCTCTTATTATTTTAGTGCTACGAGTATTAGAAAGTGATTAAATACTCTAATTGTGTAAATAAAATAACTTGAGGTAGATAAAGATCGTTTTCGTAGCAAGGGCGTAAATTTTGCCGCGTCGAAAGTTTAAGATATAATAAATCGCAATTATTTCTAATAAATAGTCACTACTCTAAATTATATATACTAGTTAAAGTTAAAAAACATTTTTCTTTAAATAAATTCTTTAGGCTGTATCCATTTGTCTTAAGCTACGTTAATTTAACTAAGTTAACTAAGTTAAGTATATAAAATTTTCAGAATGGTGGACCTCAACCTGATCAACTGCAGTACGCAATGATGTTCACAATAGACCAGGAGGAATGCAAAATGCGCTACAACACAATTGGGGCGTATATAGCAGAGTCGATGTTCTGTGCTGGCAGCGTAGAGTACGATGGAATAGACGGATGCTACGGTGATTCTGGTGGACCCTTGATTTATAAAGGTGTTGTAGTCGGTTTAGTGTCCTTCGGTTACGGTTGTGGAAACCGTTATTACTCTGGAGTTTACACAAAGTTATCCCATTTTACAGATTGGATTATCAAAATGGTTACCACGTATAAATAAATGATTTATCATAGTAAAATGTTTCCTTTATACATTAATGTTTAAATATTATATCTACTGACCCACTACAAAGCATAAAAAATAAGGATTTGGTACCTAAATGTACGATTTCATCTTATAATGCTGCGGCTACACTAAGGAGAAATGCCGTTAATCATCGCGTTGATGGACGTTGAATGTAGTTGTGGCCACGAATTAACGCGATAATTTGACAACGGCATTAAGAGGATTGTGAAGCTGTAAATTTTCATACAAAAGGCGATAACGTTTTCCCACCAGCAAACATAGTCTAATTTTCATAATTTTTGGAAATGTAGATATAACAAAAAACTAGGTTCGTACGTTTTAATTTTAAAGAAATATTACGTACGATGTAAGTTATTAGCATCTAAATATCTATATTTTTGACTTAAAAACTTCCTCAAGCGTTTTTATTTTTCTTAATTAAACTAAATTGATTTAATATAAAAGAAAAACGTACAGACCTAGATTAAGATGTACTGAATTTAATGGTACCAAAATTATCTCATTTCGTAAAGGTTTAGGTAAAAATGTTATCGCCCGAAACAATATTTCAATAAAGAAATGTAGGCAATTGCTTCCAAGACTTGCAACTCTCTCTATCGCACGATACGGGGCGGGAGGCAGGGGCATACGCATACTTTTTTTTTTTTTTTTTTTTTTTTTTTTTTTTTTTTTTTTTTTTTTTTTTTTTGCGGATGGAAAATCATCTAATGACCCCTTTCGCTCTGGGTGGAGCGTAAGGGAGTGTCAGACTTTTACTGACTAAAAACCATCCGTGTTCCTTCAGTGCCCTTACGTTCCGGAGCCGCGGTATCTCTTTCGAACAGCCCGCAGCCCCGGCAGGCGTCGGCCCTTGCGGGCCCCTTCACGCTGCTGACAGCTCTTTGAGGCGCGCGTGGAACAAAACGCGCCGTCGACACGGCCTGTCGTCATTAGACGGACGGACGACGAGCTACCCATTGCTCGCCGTCCACAGGCCCGCGCCTACGGTGGCCGGGGGCCACGACGTAGCCCCCGACGCCCGGGGCGTCTCCCGCAGTGGCCAGGGAGGAAAGCTGCTGCTCTCTCCTTCTCCCGCTCCGCCACCTCCTTCGCTAGCATCACTGCTTCGCAGAAAGTGGTGACGGCACCCCATTCCGTCTCGCTCCGGACCATGGCTTCGACCAGGGCCGGACGCGAGAGGTCGCCGCCGCCTATCGCCGCTACGAGGACACGGCGGTGCTCCGCCCAAGCAGGGCACACCTCCACGGTGTGTTCCACCGTGTCCTCCGGTCCATCCTCGCAGTGGGAGCACCCGGGCGTTTCCTCCCGCCCGATTCGGTGCAGGAACCTCCCAAACACACCGTGTCCGGTGAGGACCTGCGTCAGGCGGAAGGTGAGGATGCCGTGGCGTCTCTCAAGCCACTCCTCAAAGAGGGGTCTTATCGCCGCTATAGTGGCGTGCCCAGCACGGGGTTGCGACAGTCGCTGTCTCCATGTCGCCATGAGATCGTGCCGGAAGTCTGTCCGCTGCGCGACAACTTGCCGCGGCAGCGGGGTTTTCCCACGGCATAGTGCCTCCGCACGCCATTCGTGCAGGCGCGCGAGGACTATCGCCTCCAGATCCCATGGCGGCAATCCGGCAAGGAGGCTCGCCGCCTCGCGGGAGATCGTGCGGTAGCCGCGAACCATGTTCACGGCTATCACCCTTTGGGGCGCGTTCAGGTGGTGGACGGCAAGCCGCGCCAAACCACGCGCCCACACCCGCACGATCCGCGCGTAGAGCCTCCGGCAGGAGGCGTTTGGCCCTCTCAGGTTCGGCAGGAGCCGCCTGAAGGCAGCCGCTGTCCGTTCCAGTTTGGGAGCCAAACGTCGGAAGTGCTCAACGAAGTTCCATCGGCCGTCGAGGACGAGTCCTAGGTACTTCAGCGTCGACTCGACGTCGATGGATACCCCTCCTACCATCACTGAGGATCCCGGTGGTGGCCTGTTCCGAGGACCATGGAAGTGCATGGCCTCGGACTTGTGCAGAGCCACCTCGAGACCCAGTTGCCGAATCCTCTCAACGACTATCGCAACCCCGCGTGTCATATTTTCCGCCGCCGCCTCGTACGACCCCCCTTGTGCCAGTACCAGCGTGTCGTCAGCGTAGCAAACTACTTCGGTTCCGGTCGTCGCTCGGAACGGACGTGTCGCGAACTCGCGCTGCGTGTATTTTTGGTGTTCAAATTGTTTTTCTTTGCGTTTAGTGTGCTTTCCTTCGGATTTTGGTATAGATACTTTCTTTTTAGTGTATAGTGGTTGTTGTAGTGCAAGTGTCGCGAATTAACGCTTTGTTGGACTTGTTTTTGTGTTTCTGTGACTATTTTTAACTTAGTGGGTAGTGCTGGCACGTGGCTGTCGGATTGAATCTGACAGGTCGGTCGAGATCCTTCTCGAAGCTTCGGCGGCTTTCCTCCACCAGGGGGGCGACAGTGTGCACTTCCGGCACTGTGACGTCCTCTGTGGGCGCCGTGCGCTCAACCTGCACGGCTTGCGTCGTCTGTGCAGCGGGTTGGATCTTCGGCTGCTGTCCGCTGGGTGGCGCTGGAGACTTTCCGCGCCTCAGCGACACCTGTGTCAGTAAGCGAACTATTTTGTACCTTTTGTGACAGTGACACTTTTAGTTTTAGTTAGACATTATATGTTAGTTTAGGTAGATGCCGCTAGATGGCGCCAAATAGGTGCCGAGTAGCTGGCGACATCTTTTATTTTGGCCTGTGACAGTGACACTGTAGTTGTTTAAGGTTTTTAACTTTTGCTGTTTATTTTGTTTGTGCGTAGATCCGCTAGAGGGCGCTAGTGTATTTTTCTAAGTGCCCGGTGACCAGCTGTCATCTAGTGACCATTTAAGAAATTGACTTTTATTTATTTATTTTTATTTGGACTTGTAAAATTTTTTCAAATTTGATTGCACCTTTAGCTCCTATATATGCAAATCCTTGGGTATGCCCCTCCGGCAAATTTTTGAACTTTACCAAATTTTGAAAATTTTTTATTATTGTGGAAAAATCTTGTTTTGTGTTTGAGGAGATAGACTCTCTTGTAGGGTCTGTGTAAACTAACATGGCGGATGGTGGGAGCCCGTTCGCGCCGCGGAGGTCGCTGGCACGATCGCCTCCCGAGGCCTCGCAGGAACGACCTACAGTGGCGCCCCCGGCGCCACCTACGGCTTCTACCTCAAGCGCAGCTGAGAAACGGCCTCTGACATCTCCAGACGACCAGCAGTCAGTGGCTCAGCGGCAACGTCTGGAGAAAAAAAGGTTAGGCTCCAGTGCACCGGCCCTCGACACTATACTTAGCAAGGAGCCGGGAGCTGCAAGGGAGGTTTCGGAGGCGACCCCGCCATGTGGGTTTGATGCGGCCGGGACTCCGAGACTGGAGATTATCGAACACGTGAGGAAGGCGGTTAGTACCATTATGGGAATAGTTTCTGGTCCAGGTTCGAAACTCAATAAGGCTGAGCAAACTAAAATTTCCGTCACGGGGCACGACCTTATTGCCATGGTCGCGGCAATGGATGTCCATGTTATGGAGGCGGAACTGGCATTATGCAAGGCGGAGAGGGATAGAGCATATATGGAGGCGAAGCTGGCGCACCAGGAGGCCGCGCGTGCACCCGCAGGTGACGGGGACCACGCCCCGATAGTAAGCAAAAGCTTCGCTTCGGTGCTGAGGCTGCCGAAAGGTACGGCGTCGGTGCCTATACCGGAAAAGCCTGGCCCGGTCCTGGCTTTCTACCCGTCTGGAGAACAAGCGCACCTCAAGACTGCGGACGATACAAAGGCAGAGTTAAAGAAGTCAGTGAAGCCCTCGGAAATAAATATACAGGTGGCTAAATTAAGGAAGGTGGGGAATGCCGGGGTGGTGGTCCAGACCACGTCCCAGGAGGCGGCACAGAAACTGAGGACTGCAGCTCCTCCAACACTGAGGGTGTCAGAGCCACGACAGCGCCAGCCACTAGTTGCGTTGCGTGGCTTTGAAGATGATGTGAAGACCGAAGAACTATTACCGGCACTTCACGACCAAAATTTCGGGGAAGACACGAGATGGACTTTGGAGGAGCTGAATAAGGGATGCAAGGTTGCCTTTAAAAAGACATGGAGGGGTAGCAGGCGTACCACAGTGGTGCTGCAGTGCACCTCTGCACTAAGAGACGCCCTTATAGCAAGGAAGAGACTTTACATAGGGTGGGACGTGGTCGAACCTTGTGATTATATTGACGTCACCTGCTGCCAGAGATGCCAACAGTATGGCCATCCGGCAAAGTACTGCCGGGCCAAGGAGGTAACCTGTGGTAAATGCGGAGGGGAAGGCCATGCAAGGGAGGATTGCACATCAACTGAGTCCTGTTGTGCCACCTGTAAAAAGTTTGGCAAGCCGGGCGCCAAATCTCATGCCACGATGGCGAAGACGTGCCCGGCTAGGGTGTACGCAGAAGAGAGGGCCATAAATACCACGCAGTATGGCTAAGGATGACCAAATATCTATTGGGCAGCTTAACCTGGGGCGGGGTGAGGTGGCCACGAAGGAGCTACGATCTCTGGCCTGTAGCCTCTGCCTGGACCTTGTTCTTGTCCAGGAGCAGTGGGCTCAATCCAGGGATTTCATTCAGTTTGGCGCGGAGCCCCAGGCAGGAATTATGATCTCACGTGGACATATGGGTGTGGCTGGATTGCCCCACCTCAGCAATTCCTACTGCGTGGTTTGCCATGTGGAGAAGTACGGTCTCTATCTCATCTCCGCGTACTTTAAGTACAGCGACTCCATAGACCATCATATTCAACACCTAGAGACCGTACTTGACCAGTTAAAGGGCAAGCGCATTGTAATTGGAGTCGACAGCAATGCGCACTCGCCGCTCTGGTACAGTGAGATGGCCCAAACAGTGGGAAGAGGGCATGAAGCAGAGCACCGCCGGACAGCTACGGAAGATTTTATCGTGTCGCGAGGTCTCA